CAGAGTGAAGAGGCTGTTCTCCTTGGTCTTGTAGATATAGGAAGACAAAAGGAGTGTCTCACTGAAGGGTCAGACATATACATACCCCATTTCTCCCTCCCCACTGTGTGTGTGTGTGAGCATTTGTGAATGTGTGTGTCTATGGATGTGTGTGTGTGTGTGCATACTGAGTAACTTTCCCTCTAATTTGAAACTCTCTCTCTCCATATCATGGGAATCTGCTAATGCGTGTATGCATTTTTTTCTCTCTCCATCTTGTGTGAGTCCCTTTCTGTCAATCTTATGTGAACCTCTGTGTCTCTGTGTTGTGTGAATCTGTGTGTGTGTCTCTCTTTACCTTGTGTGAGTCTCTCTACATATGTATGTCTTAATTGAACATTTGTCTTTCTCCACGTGTGACAATTTGAATGAGAAATGTCCTCCACAGTCTCAGGCATTTGAATTCTTATTCCCCCAGTAGGTGGCGTTGTTTGGCGGTATTGTGCCATGGGAGTGGGCTATGAGTTCACTTCCTCTGCTTCGTGCTTGCAGAAGTGAGCGCTCAGCCTCTGAGCAGCTGCCATTCTGGCATCTGCTGCTTTCCTCCCACCGTCAGGGACTCTAAACGCTAGAACCTGGAGCCTAAATAAACCCGTTCTTCTGTGAGTTGTATTGGCCACGGTGTTTTCTCACAGTAATAGACAAGTAATTCACATACCACACTGTACGAATCTGTGCGTATCTTCAACGTATATTAATCACTCTCCATCTTTTGTGAATCTCTCTCTTTCTATCTTGTGTGAACCTGTCCCTGTCTGAATCCTGTGTGCGTGTAAGCGTGTGCATGTCTCTCTCTTTGTCGTGTGTGAATCAACCCCACCCCTGAAGGCAAGTCAGCACATCTGGTCCCTTGCCAGGCAGTGACTTAAGCTGGACTCTTCTCTCCCTGGGGAGAGGCTTTTCTGCTGATGGCACCAGACTCTAATGAGCCTCCATCTTCACACCCAGCTCCTCTGTGAGCAGCCACACACGCGAGAGATGGCTGGCTGAGATTCAAGGCGCTGTGGGCAGTGTCTGAGGGGACAGAGCAGAGGTGGGAGATCCTAAGGAGTGAGAGCTGTGGGCCCTGGCCTCATTAACAGCTGTGATGCTGGGCAGGGACCCCTAGGCCACACCGGGGACATCTGAGGAGGAGGTCGGGGAGCGGCACTCAGGACTGGGCCTCCATACAGAAGGCCACCGCCACCTCATTCTGGCCTCTCTGCCTGTGCTCTATAAGAACTGGCAAACGGGGCCTCAGTGCTGAGATTCAGACTGAATGTTTAATGTAATTAATGCATATTTCATAGCGCAGTAACTGCCAGTGATTTGCTCTGCCGGCCTCCCTGGCTGAGTTATTTACACAGCCATTTTCAGCTCAGTCCCAGAGCAAGTTGACAAATGAACAAGCAGCCACACAACGCTGTCTGGGCTTTCCCTGTGCAGATCAGGGCCCTGCAACTTCACAGAGTCCCCTCATGGCATTTCAAACCTGTGCTGCTTGGTCAGATGACTGTATCTCTCCTGGGAACCACGAGCCAAGAGTCTCTCGCCTTTGTCCTTCCCTCCTCCCTGCTCCCCAGCCTCAAGAAAGTATTAAAAAGGTTGATTTTATGCTCGCACTGTTATGCCCTGAAATGGATCTTAGTGATACTTCTTTTTCAAAATCCCTAAAATTGAAGTCCCCCTAGTCAGCAACTCCACTTGCCCATTGATCAGTTCTGACAGCCCGTTTGCAAGGCAGCTCTGCCCACAGGAAGGTCTGCCACAGATCCGGGGCTCCTCAGCTCACCTGCTCATCATGGTGACGGCTTTGGCAGGCTTTCAGGTTCTTGTGATGCGGGTCTCTGCACTGGGACAGCCAGGCTGGCGTTGGGAAGGCAGGGTTCAGCTCAGGGGATGGCTGCTGCGCACGTCCCTTTTGGCTTCTCACGGAACAGGCACAGATCCAGCGCTTTGAGCCTCAGTTGTAACCTCTCATTCACCACCAGGAAGCTTCAGCTCTCTTTGTGTGAAAGCTGGGCTCTCCCAAAGAGTCATAGATGATGAGATTCCTCTGGGCAAACACAATCCCATGTTTTCCAGACTCTGGGGTTAGGCGGAGGAGATATTCTCGCTGTTCTCTCTTTACCGTGAACTTTTTCTGCCTCTGTCTTCTAATCCCAGGTCTGCTTTTCAATTATTTAATGAAATTAAAATAAATTGATTTAGGCAAAAAATAAAAAACCTCTTAAAGAGCGAAGGATATCCTTTATGGTGTGAGCACACTCACACATCCATGGATTCACATACACCATGCTTTCCTCAGGGGAGACATGCTTACAATTACCATAACGAGTTAATGCCATTTGTTTGTTTGTTTATGGTGCTGGAGATCGAATCCAGGTGCCTGTGAACACTGGGCCGGCACACTGCCGCTGACCCGTGTGCCCGGTCCTAACGGCTAGCAGCCGTATCGAACCGTTTGCCATTGCCACATGCCACACAGTGTTGCCATCTTCAAATATGCTGGCCACATTCATTGCCATCTGGGGGCACATGCGGCCCATGGGCCACAGTTGGGCACACTGGGACAAAGAAGTTACTTTAACTTCCCATGATGTTTAATGACGAGCATGTAGCAGCAAGTGAATAAAATATGAACTGATGAGGAACAGACTCTCAATGGCGCAGTCTTACATACTGGGCTCTCGTCTCCGCCAGCATCCGGATTTTAAGTCCTGCTGTGGGGAAAGTCAGAAGACACAGGTGCAGGCTCCAACAATTGGGTTCAGGTCTGATACTTGGACTTAGGAGAAAATATTTAGCCCCCACCCCCAGACAAGGGGACATGGACAGCACACCAACCGACTCCGCCAGCGGGATTTCGAGTTCCCTGCCTTCTGTGGGTCTCACTCTTCTGACTGTGAATTCCCCTACAGTGCCATCATGAGAACTACAGAAAGGGGTTCCCCAGAGCCACTTCACAGGGGCTGACTGTGGACCACATTCGGCCACTACCCACTTAAATAAGGTGGAGCTGTGGTTTGCTGGCTGATTATTCATCCCGGACTCTCAGAGAGGATTGCGGCATTTTTCACAAAGCGCGTTCAAACCCAGAGGATTTTGCTAGATCATACAGTGAGTAAGGCCGGTGTAGGGGCTAGTGAGTTCGTAGAATAGAAGTCCACAGCATCTCTGCCTTGCTGTTTGACCCTGGGAGACACATTACAAAGGGGAAGACCTCCTGAGGGTCCCCTACAGCTAGTTACTTATCCTGGAGAGAACAGAGTAGGGAAGAACAGGGCATAGACTCTCCAGATTCCATCAACCCTCTGAGGCCTACCCGCCAATTCCAAAAACGATGGGGGTGGGGTAGGGCTTGCTTCCTGGTCATGCTTCCAACCACCTTTTGTGAGTTCCCTATGGGTGAGTGAACAGACTGTCCTATAAAGAACAGTCAGTTGTCACATTGTGTCTGAAAAAACTCACTTTGCTGCATGGAGATTCATGCTCAGGTCGAAGGCTTCTTCATGCAGAAAGGACAGACCTGAGCAGGCATCAGAAATGCCTGGGGCGCTTACAAAGTGATGCAGATCCCCAGGTGCCACCCTTGGGGAGGATGACTCAGAGCATCCATGCTTTCTCAAGCCCTTGGGTGAGTCCTGTGATCTGCCAGGTGTGGGCCTGCTTTAGGGCATTTGCCTGGCTGCAGTCTTAGACGTCGGTTTATTCACGATGTCTTTGTCCTATTAGATCATGTCTATTCCTGGCACTCTCCTTACCTTTGGGTTCAGAGTTCCAGTGTTTACCTCAAGCACATCTAGAACAGCCACTGTAAAACAGACCCCAAAAGGACACCCTGCGCTTGAGGGACAGCTGACTTACAGCCTCTGACCTGGACGAGCTCGCCTTCCAGAGGCTGTGCTTCAGAAACACGTCATTGAAAAGGTTGGAAGGGATTTCTCATGCCAGAAATCAGGGGTTTGAGTATCCACAACTTCCTGTACAACTCACTAACCCCTAGAACAGAGGTTCTCAACCTGTGAGTTGAGACCCCATTTGGGATCTAATGACCTTTTCACAGGGGTTGCTTAAGACCATCAGAAAACACATTGATATTTACATTATGATTCACAACAGTAGCAAAATTACAGTTACAAAGTATCAACAAGAATAATTGTAAGGCTGGGGGTGACCAACGTGAGGAACTGTATTACAGGGCTACAGTGTGGGGAAGGTTGAGAACCAGTACCCTAGTGCTAAGTCCCCCAGGCCCCAGCAACGATGATTGACAGCATGAACTTGAGCCCCATAGCCAACTCCCTCTGAAGAAATAAGGAATTCCTAGCTGGAGCGCTTTGGCTTGAACAACAGAGCCTCTTCTTGAATCCTTTTGCATCTTTGGCTGGTTAACTCGGCCCCTGCTTCCCAGTTACACTCCCCTCACATCCATGGGTACGGACAGAAGCTGGGAGAGAAGCTCACAAACACGGAGTATCTTTATTGATTCAGAACTGAGTCAGAATTTTTTCACGTGGGGACTTCACAAAGCCAGTGATATCTAAAGCCCTCAAACAGTCGGAACTGTAGGACTTGGGACACTGGATATTCAATCTAGAGTTTTTCAAAATCCTCATGAGAGGCCTGGGAATGTTGACCAGTGCTAATGTTGACCGTGCTTGATGTTAGGGCCTGAGGGTCTGAGTATGGGTTCCCCAGAATCCATATAGAAAGCGAGGTGTGTGTCTATAAATTCAGTGGTAGAGACAGGTGGATCCTGGGGCTCATAGGCAGCCAGTCTAGTCAAACTGTCAATCTGCAGGTCCAGTGAGAGACATTTTGTCAAAAAATAAGGTGGAAAGTGGTTAAGAAAGACATCTTGACATCAACTTCTGGCCTCCATATGGGCAAGCATCTGTGTGTGCACACCTACACATACATACACATGTGTATGAGTGCACACCTGCACACACATACACACATGTGTGAGTACACACACATACATACACGCATGTGTGCATGCATACACAATATAGACACACATACGCAGGCGGCAGAGATGCAGGTGGGTAGGCAGTTGGAGAGCACTGGCATAGCAGAAGAGACCTGGGATCGGAATCAGGAGATCTGGGTTCGGCTCCAGCCTAGGAGTCCGTTTGCAAATGACTCTATCTCCCCTGCTGGACTTCCTCCCACTCTTACAAAATGAAGATATTAGACTGGGCTTCTCTCTTCATCTGTCACATTCTAAATTTTAATGGTCTGAGGTCAGCTGAGATGAGGAGGAAGAGTTGTTTAGGGATTAGCAGCAGATACCTCATGCCTTTAAAAGGTCCAGACGCACACAGGGAGACAGACAGCAAGAGGGAGAGAGCAGGAGGAGAAGCTAATTGGAAAGGATGAGGGACGTGTCGAGTTGTCGGTTTTACTCGCCGGGACCTGGTCTGTGAGTGCTGGGGTAGTGAGGGGTGGATTACAGGAAGGATCTTGGGCATGCCAGCTTTGGTCCTGTCTCCTGTCTGTCTATCTGTCTATCTGTGGGCATGCTGCTCTTCAGCAGGAAGGCCTCTGTTTGTTTTCTTAAGACGATTAAGTCTTTCTAAGTCTCCCTCAGCAGAGCCTGTGATTGGAAGTGACAATTGGAGGCTACTCTATTTAAAAGCTGCCACTTTGTATTAGCAGAAAGATCAGCTCAGATTGGAGGACATTTCACTGATGCATGCTAAACCTGGGTCACGGGGACAGGACTGGTGCAGGGTGGCGAGCGGGGTGCACAGCAAGGAAATCCTCTCGGAGAACTGACCTGCCTCCCGGTCTACTTTCACTTCTAAGGACTGTGAGACACAGGCCAAACCCGTTACTCTCATCTAAAAGGAAGAAAAAAAAAACCAATGGGAAACTGGGCAACGGGTGGTGTGGAAAGCTGTGTGTGAGGGCACCTATGGGTGAGTGGGGTGGGGGATTTGTGGCTGTCTATCACTAAATTAAATCTCAACTCAGCCAAGAAGCACTGCAGTTTCTGTGTCTCTTCCTCTCCTCCCACATAGACAGTTCCTTTCTTTTCCATTCCTTGGGCAAAAGTTGCTATGAGAGATTTACTTGTAGGTCATCTCCAGCACGAGACGCCCTCAGGAGTCACAAGGCTCCAGCAGCCACATTATCTAGGAGACAGACTGGTACCCAGCAATTTCAATTGCATGTGACAGGCGCTAAGAGGGGGAACCTGGTGTGTTGAGGACACAGAGTACTAACAATCTAGGGGAGTAAAGGATGCTAAAGCTGGCATCCAATAGAAGCAAGAGGAAAGGTATTTAGAGTATAGTAAACGTCAAAGAGGTCCTGACTTAGCCCACTGTAGCCCGGGAGAGGATGAGTTTCAGTATAGTTGGACTCTATGAGGAAGAGAGGCAGAAAGCAAACTGGAGAGGAAGATGGGAACTGTATGCTTAGTTGAGTTTAGAACTTCACCAGAAAGCTAAAGGGATTCATTGAAAGGTCTTGACATGGTGTTAGACGCACAGCTTGCAGGATCTCTCTTGCAAGGTACTCTCGCAGGGTACACGACAGCGGTACAGGAACCGAGCTGAGCTGTTGACCCACGGTAATGCATTTACTCTTGAGAATCCATTGTGTTGCAAACTGGAATCAAACTTCAGCCTTCATTGCTTCTAGTGAATGGGAAACTCCATCAGCCTTGAGGGAAGCCCATGTGGAACTTCACCGATCTTGCATTTGTATCCGCAGTAGATTCCCCTGGGGTCTGGTGGAAGATACAATGTATTGAGCTTTTCCATCACCCCAGAGGACCTGACCATTGGTCACAGAACTTGTCAGGGCCTAACGTCAGCCAGGGAAGTGAAAAAGATGTTAGCTGCTCTGAGCACACTTAATACCAATAATCATTTTTCAATCTGGAATGACTAAGAAATTGAACTTTTTATGTTTCCGTTTTTCGAGACGGGGTTTCTCTGTATTGCCTTGGAGGCTGTCCTGGAACTCACTCTGTAGACCAGGCTGGACTCACAGAGATCCGCCTGCTCCTGCCTCCCGAGTGCTGGGATTAAAGGCGTGCACCACCACTGCCCGGCCAAGAAATTGAACTTTTAAATGATGGGATTTTTAGTAGACTGTGAGATTCCTAAATTTGTACTATTTTGTATCTCAAGATTAGTGTAAGCTCTTGGGGGCAAACGAGAAAGGAAAGGTTACAGTTTATCAGAGATACGTTTCAGTGTCAAGTTGATAAGGGGGTGTAGACTTGTGAGGTTGGCTGATCTTGATTGTCAGCTTGACAAACCTGAAACAATGGAACCACAAGTGAGAATTCTTTTTTCTTGATGGCAAATTGATGTTGGAAGGCCCAGAGCACTGTGGATAGAACAATTCTGGGGCAGGTGAGCCTGGGCTATATAAGAAAAGTAGTTGGATATGAGCTTAGAAACAAGCCATCAAGCAGTATTCCTTGGTGTATAGGGCCCTGTCTATAGATAGGGAACCAACAGTGGGGGTGTGGGTCTGACATTAAGTGGAACTTCTTGATAGTCTGAAAATATGGTCTTGATTTAAGGCAGATCAATCAGGCAGGGAGCTTGCACCATTGCAGGGGCGGGGATGGCATGAACCTACACTGGAGCTGGGGTGGGAAGATGGATGGTACCATCTTAAAAGAGGTGTTAGTGGTGAGGGTTTGGTGTGATAGCATTTTGGTGGAGGGAGATAGATGAAGCCTCAGCCTTCTGGTCTGGGGACAGCATGGGTGGAAAAGGCAACAACTGTGATGGAAATGGCATAATAAATGATGCCTGAGATACGGTAACGGGTATGAACATGTTGAGATGCCCATCTTAACAAATTATCCAGCCATTGTTGGTTACATAAGTCTGAGGTTCAGAAGTTTGGGGAAATAATTATTTGAAACTCTTAGGCTATATGTGGAAATTGAAACACAGCATAAATTATCCTCTCTATATAAAAGTATCTAGAAAAATCTGGAATGTTTAGATGAAGGGGTAACAAATCAGAGAAATCCCAAAGCCAAAGATTATGTCATTGAACATGCTAATTTACATTAAAATTGTGTCATGCCCTATGAGATGAAGATTTGAACTTTTCAGGGAAAGCTTCCAGTGACTTTGTCAAAACAGTTTTAGGAGGGAGTCCAGACAGAGTGAAGTTAGCTTGAGACTGAGGGGGAGAAGCAGACGCACAGCCCAAAGTGGAGACGTGTCCACGAGAAGGGGAGGCGGGAGATGAGGTCAGAGCACACTGAGGCAAAGGGAAACCCTCTCTCCCTGCGTTACCACGGGGGCGTGCTTACAGCTGGGGCTCAGGAGGAAAAGTCCAGTCTACCCAGAGAACAAGGTGAATACAGCAGAGGCCACAGACTAGGAGTGAGGAATGGAGGTCACCCTCTCTCCCTCCCTCCCTCCCTCTCTCCCTCCTGTGCAGGTGAGGGTTTGAGTGCAATGCTAAGGATGGTCATTCTAGCTTCAATTCCTTCCTTCCTTCCTCCCTCCTTCCTTCTTTCCTTCCTTCCTTCCTTCCTTCCTTCCTTCCTTCCTTCCTAACTTCCTTCCTTCCTAACTTCCTTCCTTCTTTCCTTTCTTTTTCTCTTATGCTAGGGCTGAAACCGAGGGCTTTATGCTCTATACCAATGAAATATACCCACAGTCATCAATTTTCTTGATGAATCAAAAAAAATCTAGTTGGAACTGAGAAGTATAGAAAATTCAGGTTTTTCCTTCGCCCTCTCTGTCATCCAGTCAAAGCCACATGAATGGTTCATTCTCCAATGCAGAATCAGTCCCAACCATTGTCCCCACCATTTCCCCAACAGTCAATAAAGCAGGAGGGTTAGTTGAATCTATGATGCTGAGCAAGCTTTGCCAAGCTAGGGACAGTCCAAGGTCACAGAAGGAAGGACTAGATGTGCTGGAACTGGAAACTGCCCTCCCCACTCTACCCTTCAGCCAACCACAAGAACAGGGAGGGAAGGGGCCACGCAAGAATCCATGGAAGCATCCCACCTCGGAGAGTGACGGGAATCAAAAGAGCAGGTGCACTTCGCTGCTTCCAGGTCAGCCCTGCCTGGCAGGTGCAGTCCAGGTGCAGATGTTTGCGGACTAGGCCAGGCCCCCTCTGGTCTGGGGGAGGGGCGGCCGTTCTCCATTGTTCTGCTTGGCTCTTCTTGCAGGGGGTGTGGGGGGATCTTTGCTGTCTGCTCTTGAGAGCAAGGAGCCTTTGATTCCGGAGGAGCGTGCATTTCCCGACTTTGATCTCCCTGGAATCGGGTCTGCACACTCTCAGGAGAGCACTTTACATTTAAAAGCCTCTGAGCTGGCTGCCTCTCTTTGCTCACCTGTGGCGAAGCTCCTTTCCCTGTAGCTCATCCTTCCAGCAAAACGGCCTCTGGGCAAACCTACCTGGGACCAAGTCCCACAGCACAGAAGAGCTCCACTGTCCCTGGCAGCCTGGGTCCAGTCTGGCACTGTCACCTCCCCCTGTCTTAGGGCTGAAGGGAGTATTCCTAAAAGGGCTGAGGAGGTAGAAAAACAGAAAACAGAAGGCTGGCTATGCTCATCTCCGGGAACATCACAGGAGTGTTTCTTAAGAGGACATCGGCAAGGTTGTGGGGTGGTCTGCAATGGACAGTGCCAACACCATTCTGAGACGACAACCCTAAAGCTTAAATCATTTCCCTAGGGCACTTTAGGATAAGCTGAAATACACATCTCCAGACTGCTCACCCTGACCCAGTCACAGAAACATGACTGGAAGGTGCTGGTGGGCTTTCCAGGACACAGCCAGCCTGGGCTGAGAGAAGGTGGCTTTTGGAGGTTTTCAGTCTCCACAGAAACACAGTTGAGAGCCAGAGAGTCCGAAGAGGTCTTGACTGTCCTGTGTAGTGACAATTGGGATTGTGAGCAAATGACAGACTTTCTGAACTGCCACAACCAACACTGTCGGCCAGCTTCGTGGGAGAACTCACATAAGGGAAATGGCTTGAGGCTCTTTTGTAAACTGTCAAGGGCCCTAAACAAGTCAGTGGTCATGTATCCCCATCATTCTTACTTACTGCTCTCTGGAAGCCCACACAATAAGCCAGGGGCTGTAGGACTCAAGCAACCCGAGGGTCAGACATATTTCTCTCTCATTTCCTACTCCTGTCCCTTGGGGATAGTGGAAGTAGACAGACAAACCAACTCAAAACAAACAAACAAAAACAAAAAATAAAACCAACAACAACAAAAAAGCCACAAAAAAAACTTGTTTTGAGAGACCTGTTTCCAAAGGTCCCCAGGACCAGTCCCGAAATACCCAGTCTAAAGAGTTTGTCCTGCTCCCTGAAGGTCCTGCACACTGGACAAGCCCTCCTGACAATGTAAAGAAGCGAATTAGCTCACAGGACTAGTAAGCTCAAGTGATTTCCCTTAATCAGGGCTGATCACACATGAGGGCCCCAACTGTCCCACCTGCTACTTCTAGTCCTCCTCCTCAACTCCCTGCCACACCCTCCAGGACCTTGGCCTTGCCCCCCCCCCCAGGTTCCATTCTCCACCTGTTGCAGTAATTATTCCTTAGTAGGATATGGGGACAAGGGCCTCCCAGAAACCAAATATTGACCGGGGCACAGCCAACCTTGGTGTCACCCCACTGGGAAAGCTGGCTGTCCGTGGGAGTGTCCTCAGTAACTGGAATGACTTCTGTTGCCTTTCTAGACATCATCTTGCAGCCATAACAAAGTGAGCTCTCCTGGGTGCCACCCCAAAAAAAGGCAGCCCAGAACTCTGTAGATCTGACCTTGGCTCAGCCTTGCTGTGTGGGGTCACTGCGCGTTAGCTTTCCATTCCTAACTTGGCTTTCCCCTCCACACCAAATCCGCTCATGTTCCTCAAACACACACTACTTGTTCCCGCTCTGTGTCTCTGCTGATGCTTCTCTCTTGCCTCAAATACACTCTGATATTTATAAATCTTTTGCAGTTAGCATTTCAAAAGGCTTTTCTGCCTATGATCTCATCCAATTGGATCACATCATGATCCTCACAGCAACCAGGGGAGCTTTTGCCATTACTATTATTTAAATTACTGCTCTCTGTTGCATCGGAGGCACGAAGGCCCGGGGAGCCTCAATGACTCCTTCAAAGTCACACCGTAGTTAGAGAGAGAGCTGGAATTACAGCAAGGACTTTGCGACTCCCTGCCTAGTGCTCCCTTGTAGCCCAGTACTTTCATCCCTGCAGCCCCCATTCAACGATGCTTACAGAAGTCTGCAGCCAACCCAGCCCTGGCGACTGTTTTTCTCTCTTTGTCCAGTCCTTACATCGTATTGGTTTAGAGCACCCCAACTTTCTGTTGAGGAACCCAGCCCCCCATCAGCTCATTTGATTTTGACAGCAGGGACCTCACCCCTTAGCCTTGTGGGTAAACACGTGATCAGAGTTGGCCAATCAGAGCAGTCACAGTGATTGGTTCACAGAAAAGCCTGTAAACCCAAGCCAGCAGCAGTTGAGGCACAACTGCCACGGGCGGTCGGGAAACATGGGGAGAGTCTTGGTGCTGAGCGGAGCAAATCTGTAGAGTGTAAGCCTGGATCTGCACGAGAACAGAGCTCACAGTGAGTTCCGACAAGTGCGTTTCATCTCACATTCTCCTGCAGGTTGCCAACGCTACTCTCTCGGATGCCGCTTCCAAGTGGGGATATTGTCTCCTGTGTTAAGAACGGGACTGTGACTGACTTAACCCCACGGCCCTCTGAAGCCTCTGTTTGTCCTTTGCTTCTGTGTCCACTTGTCTGGACGGCTCACTCTGCCGCCTGCAACTTCTGAAATGTCTGCCCTACTTTCTCTGCTCTCTGCCTACATCATGAGCAGTCTAAGCACCAGCCCAGTGCTGGTCGGTCCCCTTCTCTTTCCCTGTAGTGGGAAAAGCACATTTTAGTGAATTAGAATACCCGGTCCACCTTGTGCCACAGGTGGAATATCTTAAGAACAAAATTTTCTTTTCTTTTTCTTTGCACAAATGTACGTGTACATATTACTGTGGAAAGTTTCTATATGTGCACATTCTTGTGTGGCAGGGAGCACATGTGTGTGGGTAACAGAGGGTAGCCGCAGATGTCATTCCTTGGGGTCCATCTATCTTGGTTTTTGAGCTCACTGTCCTGGAATTTGCAAAGAAGGCTAAGTTGGCTGGCCAGGGAGATCTCTGGCACATAGGGCACTCCTGTTTTGGTTTTTATCTTTAGACTCTCAATGCTTCCATGGAAAGGACTCTATGGATTGAGTTCATTTTCTTAAAACTTGCTTTTAGAAAGGTTGATTAAGAATGTCAAGTAGAGACATGTCTGAGGACGTCCTTCGGAGACTAAGATACTACTCTAGTGCAAGAGGTGACTTGCGTTCCTGCCTGGCGTGTGGTGTGCACGCTCTTGATCTCCTAAATGGAAAGTCGGTAGAATGATTGTTGGGTTAATCTTGTGTACTGCTCACCTGGCCGAATCCTTCCACTGTGAGCTAGCTGGTTGCTAGTTAGACAAGCATTTAGGTTCTGCAGTCGACCTTCTCTTAACTTGTCCCTAGACTTCTTAATTGGCTCATTCTTCATCAGCTGAGTGGGAGGGGAAGGTAAAGGCATCTGTCTCCAGTGAGACCCAGTATGAACCCAGCTCAAGCAGCATCCTTGGCGGGAGCTGGCGATGAGGGGAGTGTCTGCCATCTTGGGCTATACATGGCCAGCCAGCCACTCAGTCACTTCCCAGCTTTCTCCAACAAGCGGGGCGCTGCACTTGGGAAGACAAGCACAAGTCTGTGGCCGCTGCCTTCCCTGGCAGCTAAAGCAGCCTTTTGGGGTCACATTTTTGGAGGGAGGGAGTGGCTTTAGTTCCTTGTTGGTTCCAGATGAGAAAGAACTCCTGATTTGGAAACCAAGGTCAGCGCTGTTCAAAGGCAAGCTCGTGGGTGCCTTGCCCTCCTCAGATTCCTGGCCACTCACCCATCCACCCAGGCGAACCTCACTCGGAGCATGAAAATGCCCCAAGGAAACATTGTTTGTTAAGTCATTTGATGTGAAGGATCAGGAGACCGATGGGGAGAAACTTCTCCCCTCTGTTTCCCTTATGATTTCTTGAACACTTTTTATGTAAGACCCTGTTTTCCAGTAGCCAATAGAAGATACACACACATCTTTGGGTTCAAGTAGCATATCTGCCTGGCTGTCACCTGTGCTCTCCCTTGTGACTCCCTCTTTCTCTGTGAGCTAGAACATAGGGGCCTTAGTCTCATTGCAGTCCATCCTACATGCCCTTGGGACAGAGGGTGACTTGGAGGATTCTAAGTGACACTGGTTTATGATGATTGATAGTGGAGTCTAGATTATTCTCAGCCAGCCTGTGGCCCACAGCTTCCTCAATTTTTATTTAATTAGTTTCCTCTTTTCTTCAGCATCTCCCAGAGAAAACAAGGCTTTGTCTTCTAAGAAATGTTTGACCAGGCCCCACCCTTTTGGGGAAGCCTCTGTGGTAGGCTGACTTCCTGTCTCTCCCCACTTCCTCCTTCCCTGGCTTGAAGTCATCCACAGCTGTCTTGACTTTATCTACCTGGGACAGACCTAGGCCTTGGGGACATTGTCTTCAGTACCCATATCACTTCTTGGAGTTTTGCAACTGCAAGTGAACTTTTCTTTCTCCCTGCTGTCCTGGAACTCTCTGGAAGATGTTCCGAGCATACTCAGAGTTAACCTGCCTTTGCACTTCCCCGGCTAAGGACAGAATAATTTAGTAACTTAGTTGTCTCTGTTTCCAAAGCTTTCTGGAAAGTAGGTGAAACTGCTTTGTTATAATGTTGCTCTCTTGACTCACCAAGAGGTGGATTTGTTACATGAAATCTGTTCATTCGAAATTCAGCTCCAGGCTACTATAAAACAAAAAGAGTTCTGCAGCAGCCTCTGCCTACCTCTCTGTAAAAATCTCTCCCACACACCTAATGAATGATTCAGGCACAACCACATACACACACACACACACACACACACACACACACACACAGTTATCTTTGTAGGAAACCAGATCCTCCTTAAGTTGGGAATTTCCCCAGACTGTGGACAATTTCCCCTCTAATTAATGTTCTCTTTGTGTGTTCGTGTTGAGAGAGGAGAGGGAGAGAAAGGGATGGTGAGAAGAGAAGGTAAGGAATAGGACTCATCACTGTGCAGTTCATAGTTCTTGATGGAAATGTCACAATGGGTGTTGGGTTCCTGTCCAAGTGTTCATCCTCTCCCTGGCTCCTGAAGATCCAGGGTTCCTACACTCACTCGGGGCTCCTCACCTCTGTCTTTCTGGTCTTTAGAGGTAAATCTGGCTCCAAGCCTGCACAAGTGGCTAGGCATTTGGCTGGCAGAGAGGAATGACCAAGGTCTGTGTGTCCTTCAGACAACCTGGGATGTGGCTCAGTGGCGGAGTATTTGCCCAGCCATGCATGAGGCCTTAAGAGGTTCCTCCTCGCTGACTTCTCTTTACTCCTTTTGAATCCCTTCCTCCACCCTAGGGTAGCTCTGAACCACCCAACCGGCTGAAAGGACAAGCTCTGAAGAAGCACATGGTCTCAGGTTAAGCCATCTTCCTCCGTCAACCCCCACCCCGTCCCATCCCCTCTCTGTGGTATACTTGAAGGTCTGGGTTCTCCCACAGGATTATCACATGGGATCCAATTCAACCTTATTCTCTTACACTCTGGAAATGACTTACTGGACATGCCACCCGTGAGTGGTGTTCTTGGAACACAATGATCCCTGTGTTGCACAAAGGATCAAGCAGATGAAGTGGAAGCAATTCAGCGAGGCAACTTCTTTTTACAAAAAGGGTTTGCCAGAACCTAAACCAGGCTAGTAGTGAGGGTTCTTGGTCAAGATTGTCTCTGTCTTTTATCCCTAAGGCAAGTGGTGACTGTGTCTCATCTAATTGGTGGAAGCTTGATTTCACAGCCTGATGCAGTTGGATAATTGATAGGAAAAAAACAAAAAGAATTTCTCATTGGCATGAGGCAGAAGGCTAGTCCCCAAACCCTCAGGGCATGGCTTTTCTTACTTGTGAGCTTCGGGCGAGCGCACAGGTTCCTGTGTGCCTGTGGATGACTTGGGAGTTGTTGTGAGCAGTTTCTGGGCCCCTGCCTGGTCCCCAGATCTACAGGTGGCCTGAAAGTACACTTTAAAGATACAGGTGGCTTACTTTGCTGTGAGCAATTCTGGAGAATAGCTTGTGGAGGTTATGGGGTGGCATGTTCTCCAGAACCAAATATCTGTGAGTCAAAGGACAGGCATCCCCGGAGTTCCTTCCACTGACCCTGACAAAGGACAAGAGTTTGATCCTTAGGCCCTTGGGAGAGGGGTGTGAGCTGCTATTGAATCTAAGGAAGGGTGAATTGTATGCGTGGTCAGAGGAGAGGGCAGCACATATACTGGGAATCTATGTCTACAGGCTCATGGAACTCCTTTGTAGTTTCAAAGACTTCAGGAATCTTCATGTGCAAATTTAAGTCCTGGGGTGTGTTATCAGCTAACAGTAAGTGAGCAGCTCCCTGGGAGCCAAGGGATGGAGTTATAAGAAAGGACCTCACCAGTGTGCGCCCAACGAAGAGCGTGTGAGCCCCCCCACCCGCTGGGGAGCCACAGAATGGTGACCTACATAGACAGGGGAGTGAAAAGGGTGTGCAATAAAGATCCAGGGTAGATGAAGGATGCATGGGGCCCCCCAAACTGGAGCTTCTAATCTGTTCCTCTCACCCACCACCTACTCGGCCCTGGGCAGAGCATAGCTAAGGTCAGACTTTCTCAAAGGACACCCCCGCGCACACACACACAAACACACACTTCACCTCCTATTTCTAGGCACTTACCCGGGCCCCGTCCCCTCTGGCATCTCCCAGACTCCCCAGCTTCTGCGTATACAGGCTGGCCGCGAGCCCCGCACCCCTGTTCCCTTTCCACTGTCTTGCCCAGTCCGAGTTTGTTGTTTTGGAAGGGCTCTCGGGTGGCTCGCCCTGTGTTAGCTGGTCTGTCTGCTGGGCACCCAAGTCCTCTGAGGCATCTGTTTCTTCTCTTTCATTTCTTACCACAGTGCTCAGTGCAGAGAACAGGAAAGACATGGTTCTATTTGTTCATCTGTAAATCACTAATTTGCTCTTTCTGCCCAGCAGGTCTTTCTCCAGATAGCAAGGAAATCAGCAGACAGGGAGGGAGAGAGAGTCCAGAGACCCAGATCTGGGGTCCGTCCAGTTCCCTCCAGACTGCTGTAGCTCATCAGCACCAGGTGTGGGGCTATTTGGGGGATTCCCAGCAGTGTGACCAATCAAAACCTGTCTGTGCTGCTT